ATCCTATAGATGCCATTAGCTTTAATAACAGGGAACTTCTACAACAAAGGCATATGCTACTAAAATCAATTACTGTTCTCATAAAACATGTTAGTGGCTAACTTGTATAACCTTGTAGACTGAATGTGTGTTGATGGGATCTTATTAAGATTCATTGTTTGTAATTCACAGAGCAGCTGTTCCTACAAGTAAAGTATATTTAATGGAGCTCAGGTGAAGCAAAAAAAAGTTGTGAATTCCAGGATTTTCTGGTTACTCATTACATTATTTACTGTGAAAAAGTACTCAACTTTTCTCTAATACCACATAAACTGGGCAAGGTTATGAGAAACATTATTTTAGGGTATGAAAAGGTCCATGTTTATGAACCTCCAGATCATTTAAGTTTCAGCTGATCTGAATTGACCTTTTTTTAATTACAATTAAACCACTGCGCACAAATTTAAAATTTTACTCTAGCATCCATCTTTATTATACGAGATGTGTTAAATGCTGGTTGGCTTACGGTCTTTAGCTAGGGGGGGGAAAACTTCAAGTTCAAAGAAAATTGGCTTAGTAGCTTTGAAGTTGTATGTGCTTCCATTTGGAATATTCATGCATGCGAGAGCACTACGCCGCATCCTCAAGTGATTCAATAAAACTGGAAATACGTAAGGATCCTTTCTCTCTAGGTCATCTTTAACCTCTAGCTTCACAGTGCATTAGCAGACGTGGATTTAAGCCCTGATTGAGCGCTTGCTAGAGGTGATGGAAAGCCTCCTGTTGACTCCAGTGATGCTATGGATGGTGGTCTCTGGAACAAATGTTGTTATAGGGATTGAATTTGTTTTGGCAGTAAACTGTTCTGAACATTTTTATCAGTCAAAGACACCTTTTAAGGTGTCTAATTAAAAAAAGGAAAGGGTACAATTCCTACTAAAGCTTGGCATGTGTTAGCATTTTATAGTTCCTTTGTTTCACGGGAGACTTAATTGAAACTGTTTGTAAATGGGAAAAGGTTAAGCCTTTAAATATTGGGATTTACAGAAACTATTTAATGTTTACTGCTGGAAAAAGGGGTTCAGAAAAAAAGGAGACACAGCTTTCTTATATTGTTTGAAGTTAATTATTTTTAAATAATTAAACTTGAGGAATATTTTGAGAAATAGTTTAAGAGATAAATGTGAAAATATGTTGATTTTTTTTAATGCCAGCATTGCTGAGATATGAAGTAGCATTACTGGCTACCTTAATATATTGACATGAAATGTGCAATGTGTATGAAGTGGCAGAATTCAGGATGTGACTAGAAACCTTAACTTTTGACCTTGCCTTTGACTGCTGGATGGTTTTAACCTGCATGCTGTGTTGATGCCTTTGCCTTTAATCTGCAATGTAAATCAGTGAATGTTTAAATATTCTGACTGGTGAATCATACACGCTTTTGCGTTCAGTTCAGTATTGTTGCGAATATTAATACATAAACTTACCGGAAGCCTGCCTTTCTCACTGGAGTGGTTTATTTACCTTCCTGTATCTCACTGGGGAAGCATCATTGCTTCCTTACCTTAATGTCTTTCTCTTCTTTAGTGCCACTTGGCCATAGAGCTCTTCTCATCAGAACAATCGCCTCTCACACGATTTTCTTATTCCTTCTTTCACAGTTGCTTTGTTTTACACTAGAGCACCTCTAACCACCCACAAAAGATGGAAGTGTGTCCTTTGGGGTTGTTCCAGGACAACGGGATTCTGAATTATTTTTCTGACCCTATACTAGCTCATATGCAGTGTGACTTTGGATTAAACACCTGCTTCAGCTGGCTGGTTTGAAAATGAGTGCAATGATTTTTTTATTTCCCCCCCTCTTTGCATCTTGAGCATCAGGCGCGCACCAGGGCCGGCACAGAAGAAGGGCAGAGCATGTCTGCCTTCTCTGACAACAGTGTTGACCTATAAAGTCAAACTGAACCCTTGGAGCAGAGGGGAGTACACACACTTCCAGGAGATGCATTAAGCAGACATAATGGTTCTCTGCTGTCACATGGGGGCAGATCCTGTTTCTGACCTTGCTTTCTTACTGGGAGTTGGACTCGATGATCCTTATGGGTCCCTTCCAACTTGAGGTATTCTGTGATTCATCAGTGGTGTGCAACAGACTGCTCCGTAACCCAGCCCAACGCTGAAACAGAAGAGCACCCTCCCCAACATGCATGTCGGGTTCTCTCACATCAGTGAGGTGAGTCATCCTGGTCAAGAGTCCATCAGGAATCGGAGCTGGCACGAGGCTGGGAGCTGGACGGCACGGCTGGAAGCATGGGCAGGGCAGGGAGCCATCACATCTGCTGCCTGTGGAGCTGCGGCACGAACCAGCGCAGAGTGCCTCCAAATAAGTCATTTATGTCCTATCATCAGAGATGGTGACGATGATTTTATTGTTTCCTGGAGTTGGCTGGATAAGTATGTTTTTTCATCTCGTGGTGGCCATGTGAGAGTCATGACAAACAGGAGTGGTTACGGAGTGCAGGAACAGTCCTGAGGAAAGGAGGAGACCAACCTTATATCTACACGCATGCCAGAGTGAGCACCTTCACACGAGGGTTCAGAGTCATCTGTCTTTATCTACCTTTGGCCGACTTCCTTGTAAACCATTTACTTTACAGATAGCACAGCTTAATGGGATACAAGGTGTGTTACCTGTCTGGGATGGTTGGTCTTGTGTCTTGGATACTCTTTGAGGAGAAATAGTTATCCCTCCTGGAGGCTGAGGGTGGAGAACCAAGTTGCTTAGTGCTTCTGTAATGAGGTGAGTGCAGTGAGGCTGTGCCTGGGTGAGGTTCTCTCAGCAGCAGGAGCCTTTGGCACCACCATTTTGCAAATGCAGGTAACTCAAGTCAGCAAGTTGATCCGAGTTAAAACAACCCTGCAAAATTTAAAACCAGTACCTCCCCATTGTGTTGGGTTTTTTTTTCTTTATGGGGCCATCTGGGACTTACTGCTCCTTAAGCCAGCAGTGTTGCTGGGATGGTGTTGCTGAAGCTTCATCAGACCATGAATGCAGGAGTCGACATCTAATTTTGCAACAGCGATGTGGACTGGGGGTTGTTCAGCCTGGAGAAGGCTCTGGGGAGACCTTAGAGCAGCCTTCCAGTACCTAAAGGGGGGTTATTAGAAAGATGGGGACAAACTTTGTAGTAGGGCCTGTAGCAATAGGGCAAGGGGTAATGGTTTTAAACTAAAAGAGAGGAGATTCAGACTAGATAGAAGGAATAAATTGTTTAGGATGAGAGTAGTGATGCACTGGCACAGGTTGCCCTGAGGGGTGGCTGATGCCCCATCCCTGGAAGTGTTCAAGGCCAGGTTGGACGGGGCTCTGAGCAACCTGGTCTGGTTGAAGATGTCCCTGCCCATGGCAGGGGGTTGGAGTAGATGGTCTTTAACGGTCCCTTCCCACCCAAACCATTCTGTGATTCTGTGACTTTAGCCATGGCCCAGATCTTGTTTTGTCTCTGACTCAGTTGTCCCTGTCTCTCCGTGAGGATGTGTATAAATGGCTCAGGAGGCTGGTCTGCCTGGAAAAGCTGTTTTTTAACTAGTTTTGTTTTCCAGCTGGGTTAGCTCTCTGGTCCGGTTTTCTCCGTAGCTGCACAGCAGGTAAGGTGGGTGGCACAGGAGTGCGGGCGTGCAGGGCAGGGGCTGCTGGAGCCGGCCCCGGGCTCAGGCAGGGATCGGCCAGAAACAGCCTGGGCTGGCACGGTCCTGCCGTTTTTCTGACCTTGCTCACCATTTCCCGTCCTTGTGCTGGATCTAGCATGCATTCGAGTCTGTGCAGATCCATTTTGGTGTGCCTAAGCTAGCAGTAAACTATTTGCTGCTTTTTACCGTGTTGAAGTAGGATTTGGTGAAGCACAGTGAGTCAACAGAGCCGCGTAGAGCCGCTCGGGTGGGGAGGTCCTGCTCCCAGCAGACTGCTAGTGGCACTTCGTTCCAATGTCGGGGCTTGCTGGAGCACTTCAGGAGCTGGTTTAACACATAGCAGCGGTCGGAAACGTAGCAAAATGTCTGAGTGGGTCTGGGCCACATGGCTGTGTTGAAGCGCTTCAGCAAAGTGCTGGTGAGTACCAAAGCTAGTGCAGCAACTGGTAGGACCACAGTAGCCTACCGCTCATTCAGCTTAACAAACTTGTATTTATTTTTTTTTATTATTACTATGAGACTACCATGCTGAAGAGGGATCAAGCGGTGGATATCGAGTGTGCAACAGTCTAATCCAGTATTAGATCTGGCCCGTAGATGCCATTATAATGAGGGCGATGTCGTCACTTCAGTCAGTTTAACGGTTGCTTGGTTCAGAGTGCCTTGCCTGGTTTTCAATATATATATATTTTTGTAAGTGATTTTATTTTAATTGTCATTACTGAAATTTAATCTGCAAAAAACCGATGTGATTGTTGTGTAGTGCGAGCTAGTGCTGTTCAATTTGCAGTTCTGTGCTGGGATTTAGTCATAGAAGTTTGCAGGAGATACAGTTTGTTCTCCCATTCTCTGGGACTGTTCGGAACATCATTGTAGAATAAATCTGTTTTTCTTCATTGCTATTCAAATGATGTGTCCCAGACACATTGATTAATCTCTAAATGTGGTCTGCTGAGATTGAAGATAAGTACGCTCATTTCTATTGTTCTAATTCTGAGCAGAGTCTGTTACAATAAATGGTGCAATATCTATTGAATTCATGCTGAAAGGTAGAAGTAAGATACAGATTTGACTCACAGCATTGTCATGTGGATTTTTTTTCTTCAGTGGCCTTCTCTTTAAATCTAGAACATACTCTCTTTATTTCAGAAAATGTCGTAAACTGGTAAATACTGGGAACTTAATGTAAACCAGTAATCCTGAAAACATACTTAGAATTGTATTAAATACTTAGAATCTGTCTCAAAATTAGTTTTGTTGGGGCACTGAAGTCCAGGAAATGTAGTTTGTTTTACCCTGACTTGCATTTTTTTGTTCCACTTTTGCAGGAGTTTTTTGAGAATCCTGCTTTTCGCCCAGATGGCATGAAGCTCTATCCGACACTGGTGATCCGTGGCACTGGTCTGTACGAGCTCTGGAAGACTGGAAGATATAAGAGCTACCCACCCAGCACTCTTGTGGATCTGGTGGCCAGAATCTTGGCCCTTGTCCCACCATGGACGCGTGTGTACCGTGTTCAGAGGTAATTTTCTGTGATGGGCCTTGTATATTGATTTATTGCGCTTGGAAGGATTCTTATTTTAATTATAGCAAGATCTGACTCAGCCTCTTGTTATTTTTCAGCCTTAATCATTAATGCGCTAAAGATTTTTAAAACTACTTCCTATCTATTCAGAATTGGAAAGGCCAAGTAGAATGAGAAGCTGTTTAAATTGAACTGCCTCTCAAACCCACCCAGAAACCAAGCTTTCTGGAGGCCTTGCTTGCACTGCCAGTCAGACAAGAGCATAGGATGCAGCACACATAGTACTTTAATAATATTGATGGGCAATTACCTCTTGGCTGTGGGTGAAGTTTCCTATATTTATTGCGGGAGCTGCAAGGTGTGACATTTTTTTTGGCTAGAGAGACTTCCTTCCTTTCCCTGTGGGTGTTGCAGGGTTTTCATAAATGTACTATGGTAATGCCATCATTTCTGGCACTCCCCTCCCAGGACGATAGATGATACTTCCATTTAGCACTGTGTTTTCAGTGTGGGGTCTTCCTTGGATTATTTTTCTTCTGTTATCTCCTAAATCTCTCTAATAATAGGAAAGGAGGCTATAGTGTACTTGCCTATTTTTGCATGTGCAGACAATACTCAGTTGGCTTCTAGCTACGTGAGCTGGAAACAGTGCCAATGCCTCACTCTCCAGGAGCATGCAGAATGAGAAAGCCTTGAGCATTAGACCTCACCTACCTGGACTTCTCTAAGGCATTTGATTTTGTACCTTCTCAGAAATGTGATGGAGTGGGGATAAGCAGAGAAACAGTAGAGAAGAAAGTTGCTGAAGGCGAGAAACACTGGGTAGCATCGACAAAGAAAGTATGGACTCAGGGTTATTAGTGGAGTTTCTCAAACGCCTATTTAAAAACTTAATCTTGCTCAAAGTTGTATTTATTTACAAGGGCATAAAAAGTAGTAGGGCATTGAGGAAATTTTGCGGGACTGGGAAGCATCCTTGAAAGAGAGAGGATGCACAGGTAGGATCTGGTGGCGGTGGTGAAGCTGGAGGGATAAAGATGGGATGAGAGGTAGTTCAGGGAAGTTTGAGCTCAAACTTGGAAGGGGTTTTGCTGCAAACCATGAGATCACCATGTGAAAACAGCAGAGGAGAAAAAGTTCTTAATGTCTTGGTCTGTAATATGAATAAGCCACTGGTGAATGCAGCCACAAAAAGCATTTTTTTTCCAAGATAACTGTTTTTAGAGATGTAAGTGTTAGTACAGCAGCCAGACAAGGCTTTGCTAAGACCTTGTCTGGAGTAATGCCCATCTTCAAGAAAGTGAACTGTGGAAATGTGCGCAGAGGAGCATCAGTCTTTTGTTTGAAGGATAGATGTGGACATAAATGACCTCTGTAAATCTATGAGAGAAGGAAAATAACCTTTTAAGAAATAAGAACATTGATTTTGGCAGAGTGTGAGAAAATAAGAAGTAGCCTTGCATAAAACGAAGCAGGAAGCTGGGAATTTTTGGTCAGGACTGAGATTCTGGAGTAGCTTTCCAAAGTTACCAAAGAGGAAGAGAAGCTAAATATGAATATGGTGGAGCTTGATTAGGCTTATGAAAGTGATTGTGATACAGCAGTCTGTAGTAACTGAGACACAGTTTCAGCAGCCAGGAGATCCTTTCTTCAGATCTTTGTTACAGTGAGACACTGGTGGCTGTAGCTGAACTCTTGAGAAGAAGGGTGTGATGCTGATGAAGAAAGCAAAACATGGCTTACAGGAAATATCTACCTGGTATTCCCCCAGGCTTTTCACATCACTTATAGGAGCATTGTTAAAGGCAAAACTCCTACCTTTTCTCCCTGCACATCTCCCTCCTCCTCAATTCCACTACAGACGCAATGGTCCCTTTGTTCATGATGCTATCACCATAGCTTCGTATCTAAAATGAACAGGTTTATTCTTAGAGGACAGCATGAATTTGCAGTCTAGCAGGTCATCTCCTAAGGAACACAGGCCTGGAAAAGTTTTTGCTTGGTGTGCTGATTTGCCTGAGCTTGACTGATTTCTTCAGTCAACAGCAGCAGCCTCCATCCAGCTGTCATCTGATTGTCAGTTGTTATGTTCCAGTGGAATAGCTGTTTTCTTACTGACTGGCTCATGTTATCTGAAACTTGTTCGTGGTGATTACAGATTTTTACACCTTTAGTGCAAAGTCCAAAAGCTACTGCTTTGATCTAAATTGCTTTCAGGGCCATTGTGTGGCTCAGTAACAGAATAATGAACAAAACCAGATTTCTAAAAACATTTGTGTGCTGTTCCCAACACTGCTTCACTGAGGACAGCAAGTTTTTCCCTGTTTGCTACCCCAGACCCTTTCCGTCTCCCTCCAACCTGCTGCCACAGGTCCTCCATCCTTCACATCTTACATTTCAGACTCTATTTCCACAATCCTTTCAGATTCAGCTTGCGCCTCAGACGGCGAGTTATCCCGAGCTCTCTGTGTACTTGACTGGCCCTTTGATGTATGCGTTCAGATTTTCTAGCATCCACCACCAGAAGACGACTGAGCGATCTATGCCCTTCCTTATTAGGACCACTGTTTGGGATCTCTGTTGCTTAGTACCAGGTTTTGAGGAAGCATAAGGGACTCAGTGTTTTTGTAGTCTGTCACAAGCTCAAAATAATCAGTTCAATGGGCCGGGTGAGCATGGGAGAGGTGTCACTGGCAAAACACTGTAGAAACCAGGTTAAATATGTCTAAAAAAAAAAAAAAAAAAAAAAGAGATGCTGTTGCTAATGGCTGGTTGGAGGAGAATATATCTTCCAGGGTGTTCTGTAACTGTCAGAGATTTATCCTGAATGTTTGTGAACTTTATTATCACTGAAGTGCTTTGGTGTGTGAGAGCTTGTGAAATGACGGTACTGCCACACACCTTGAGACTTTTCCTTTCGTGGATCTCGGTGTGTTGTATGAATGTTATTTTCACTGTGTTGATGGGGGGATGTAGGTATGAAGAAATAAAATACTTTACTCAACAGAGATCATATAATAAGTCAGAGCTGAGAGCAGACTCAAGGTCTTTAGACTTTCACTGTGTGCTTCGATCAACTGCTTCACAAGTATCCTAATGCAAAATGTTTGAAAAATAGAAGATTAGATAGGCCTTGTTGAAGCTTCTGGCAAACTGCACATTAATGTTAATAAGGTCAGGATTTAATCCCCTGTATCCCTGAATTTGTTTAGCCTTTAACAAGTCCTAAAATCACTGGTACAGTGCTGTCTTGTGGCTATTGAAAACAGGCAGTTAGTGTGTACACTCATGCTGCACACAGGGTACTTATTTAAATACTCTGCCCTGATCTGAAGTGGGGATGGAAAACCTGTTTCTTTCTTTCTCTTTCTTAAAAAGCTTATTTTTCACATTAATATTTTAATTTAGTTTGCTCCCTAGTAGGCAGATGAGAGAGGCTCAAGTTACTGTATGATGTAATCTGTCTTTTATTTGCAGTACTTCATTTACTATTTTATAGCTGACTCTGGATTTAGCTAAAGACCTGGTACTGGAAGATATCAGGATGTTTTGTCT